ATAATTCGCAAATATGCTCCAATTTATCTGAGGCATACATTTTAACATCCAGACTGGTTAATGAGAGTAGCGTATGTGAAACTTGATGTTACTCATGCAACCTGTTTATTCATCACTGTGTGCATTTTATCCATATGTTATAGAAACTGCTGACAGCTCAGCTCTCATGCATCGTTTTCAATTATTTTGTGAAAATTGCACAGAAATTAAAAGTTTTTTTTTTTTTTTTTACTCATTAAACATGCTTGGTTTGGTTAAAGTTAACATTTCAGAATCCTCATATCCTGACCTTCCTGCCTGACTTGTCTCATTTAACTGAACTGACAGCTTGAATTTTTAATGAGATCTGAGAAAAACCCAGTTCAGCTAATTACAGTTTAGCATTTAGAGCTCTGTAGGCTTTAGGTTCAATCTCTGAGCACTTGATCACACCAGACATTTGATTATTTGTTGTCCTTTGATTCATTATTCATCAAAAAGGTGAGTATTGTTCCAACTTGTTCTTATTTTATTATCTCCATTATGACAAAGGGCACATTCTGAAAACCAGTAGAAAGTTAAATATGTGTGAGCCTTTTTTCTGTGTTGCACAAAGTACAGTAAAAATAAAAGCACCACATCAGGATATATATATATATATATATATATAAAAGTTGTGTTATTATTTTTTCCCAGTAATATTATGTTTTTTGTTTTCAATTTGGAGATTGTTCAAGCATAGGTTGTTGTTTGTTTGTAGTTATTTTACATTTTATTTAAATGAGGAGCATCTAGTATTATTTATTTCTTATTTCTGCACCCTTTTCATTCAATGTATTTTTTGATGAATTTGTTTATTTCGTTTCTCTTTAATTGAATGAATGAATTAATTAATAAATAAACATAATGGTACTGCTTCAAGTTATCTGTTAACAATGGTGTACCACAAGGCTCAGTCTTAGACCCCACCCTCTTCACAATCTTCTTAGGTAATGTAGGTCAGATCATCCCTGATGCATCGTTACATTTCTATGCTGATGATGCAGTTGTTTATTGTCAAGCTAAAACAGTTGCTAAGGGTTTCCAGCTTTTACAATCCGCTTATGAAATCATCCAGTCAGATTTGTTCCATATCAAACTTGTCCTATACACAGACAAAATCAAAGGTAGGTTGTTTCAAACATGAAGTCTGTCCCAGCAGTTCTCCCTCTTATTTTATCTTCGAATAGTGTTCCTATTGAGTTTGTCAATTCCTCCAAATACTTGCGTATTTTGGTTGACTCTCTTTTAAGCCCCATGTCGAAAACTTGGTAAAGAAACTGAAAGTAAAACTGGGTTTATTTTTCATAAATAGATCATGTCTGACTCTGAATGCTAGGAAACTCCTTGTAACTGTGACTTTCCTTTCCTCCATTGACTACAGTGACATTATTTACATGGATGCTGCTACAAGCACCCTGCAGATGTTGGACGCTGTCCATTGCTGTGCCTTGAGATTCATAACTGACTCTACCGTACCCACCATTGCACCCTGTATTCACTGGTTAACTGGTCATCATTAACTTCATTCCTCCTACATGTCACTTTGTGAGTGCAGCTACAGTGTGAGCTCTCAGGACATTATTACATGCAGTGTTCCTTCAGTGTGGACTGAACTAGGCAAAATGACATTCTCCTACTCTGCTCCTGTTTCCTGGAATATCTTGCAAAAAGATCTCAAGTTCTCGACTTTGACCTCTCTAAGTGGCGTCAAACATCTGTTAAACCCAATGCAGACATGTTCCTGCTTTTAGTTTTCCACATCGCTTTATAAAGTAGCTGTTTTTGTTTATTTTTAAAATATATATTTTTATTCCATTTATATTTTTAATGTATATGCTTTCTTTTAAGATTGTCTACTGTTGTCATCATTCTTTGTTAAAAATATTGTAAATGAGTCCCCGAGGCTCAATGAGACTAATCTGTATAAATAAAGGTTTAATGAACACTGTGGTTATAGTAGAAGTCAGGGACATGCAACACTAACTACATTCCATGAGACAGTATGTATAAGTACTGCACAAAGTACTTCAAGTAATGTTTGTGTTTTGGTTTTGTCTCCTGCTATGAAAGAAAAAGGCATAATTCAAAATACCCTCAGTCTGTCTGTTGTGAATGTTGTGAGCTTGGTAACTTGACTAATAAGTGAGATACTGACTTCCATTTTGATGTGTTGCTACATCTAGGCATAATAAAAAAAATACTTCCAAAAGGTAAAGGTGCAGTACTGTTTTTGTGTTCGCTTATGGGTATTTGTATGCGTACATGTGATTGTCTGTTAGTGTGTTCATTTCTCACTAATTCATTCAACCTTTATTTATACAGGTTAGTCTCATTGTGTCACAAGGACCCATTTTCAAGAGAGACCTTTTTAGACAGATAACATAGAGTACAGCCAATACTATAAAACAATAAAAATCAATAAAATAAGGTGTTACTAAAAACAAGGGCCAATACTATAAAACAATAAAAATCAATAAAATAAGGTGTTACTAAAAACAAGGTGCCATATAAAATAAGGTAAACTACTAATAACAAGAACAAATTACCATATCAAATGTTTTAAATCCCTTAAATCATAATATCAGTAGATTATCGTATGAACGTCTGACCAGTCTGAATGACATTTTTATAAATAATGGAACTGCATCTACAAACTGAATGAATTGTGGAGTCACAGCTATTTAAAATGGCTGCCACAGCTAATCAATATCAGCCATTGCCAAAATGACCACAACTCAGTCAATTGCACAAGTATTGGACCAACATGTATTGTGATCAAAGCTGAGATTCATCCACAACAATCATATTAACACATTTTGCAGGATGTGACCAAGGTGGCCATTCCAAACTACATATCTCTTATAAATGTGGCGAATGATATGCATTCCTTCCAGAAACGCTGAGCCTTTAATTACTTTTCTCACCATCTCCTCGTTTTTCTTCATGCTTCATTCAGATCCCTCATTTGAAGATCGGGCCAGAAGAGACCCCTAAGCTGCCGTACCTTCGCTTCGCCTCTGTGACCCTGTACCCCAGTAACGAGGACCTCAGCCTGGCCATCGGCTCCATCCTGCGCTCGTTCGGCTACCCAACAACCAGCCTCATCTGTGCCAAAGCCGAGTGTGAGTCCATATGTGAAGTCATATGTAAATATCCCCGGGCAGCCTGCTCCATTTGCTCATCTGTTTGGTGCTTGTAGCGCAGACGCGTCCAATTCAAGCCTGAAAACAGTTGATTTTGAAGCACCTTTGGATTTTCTAGAAACCTCGTGGTTCTGATTTGCTACAACTCTGTAACATTGTTGGAAGTGCAATGAGATACTCGATGTGCTGAATGAGTGAACGTTATGTGCGACCAGTTTTCAAAGCACTTGTTTGAAAATCTGGAGATTAGACAAATTCAAGATTCTTTATTGTCATTCGCAGCACATGCGGCACATGTGGTGGATTTTGTAGACAGGGTCCCAGTTACACCCAACAAAGTATTAACATGTAAAAGAAAAATAGTAATAAGATCTAATATATGACCTAAGAAAAATGTTAACTAAAAACACATTAAGCACTAGTAGCATAAAAACAAGACTCCAAACAGCAGCACGAACATGAGTCTTTGGGAGCAGACGAGTACGAATGAACACAACAACATGAAATGGATCAGCAGCAACATGAAACAGATCAGCAGCATGATGTGATTTTTCAGTGATGATCCTGGTTAGAGATTCATGAGTCTAACGGCCTCAGGGTAGAAGCTGTTCCTCAGTCTAGTGATTCTACAATTAATGCTCCTTAACCTTCTTCCTGAGGGGAACGGAGCAACAAGTGTGTGTGCTGGGTGAGCGGGGTCCTTCATGATGCAGGTGGCCCTCTTCCTGCATCTGGAGGTGTAGATGTCTGTGATGGTGGGGAGGCTGACTCCAACATCTTCTGTGCAGCCTTCACCACTCTCTGCAGAGCTTTTCGTTGTGCATCTGTGCAGCCTCCATGCCACACGTTGATGCTGGAGCACAGAGTGCTCTCCACTGCACACCCGTGGATGTGGTCGGATAACAAATGTATGTCATGGTTGATGTCCAACTTTGTTTCTTGTTCATAATTTTTCCTCAAAATACTTTTTTCCACTTAACTTTTCCTTTTCATTCCTTCCATATTTTTAGTCCTTTTTTTTCATTTCCTACATTTTTTTCACAACTGTCTACTCTTTCCATTATTTAATTTATCTTGTTTCTGTTTTGTGTTAATGACGCTCGCGTTATTTTTATGACTGATGCTGTGAGCCAGCAGAGCCATGAGGGATGTTTTGTATTGATGATTAGTTGTAACACAGCCGCTCTTTCTGTCATGAGCAGAGAAAAAACTGTTGAATCCACAGACACGGAATGCTCAAATCCAAACAAAGGAAGAATGGCAACCTGTTCTTGTTTATACACCGCTCTGCTTTCCCTTTTTATTCCTTCTTCAAGCCATAAAAGCACAATCATTTTGCTTCATGTTGAGTTGACGAAGTGGGAAAAAAATTAAGCTAACCTGGCTTAAAATGTATAAATACTAATCCTAAATTTTAAATATTACATTCTATCATCTTACTCAAATTAGCAAAACAACTAATGCTGACAATAAGATGGAATAAATAAATTTAGAAATTATCTTTGAGGTTTATTTTATGATACTACTATTTGAGGAGTTTTCCCTCATTTGAATATAACATCTAATGATGATTGTTACCATATGTTGTAATGATGCAAAGGTTCTCAATGTTCTGATGATTGATTACCAGCTGTTCTCCCCTCCCCCCCCCCCCACACACACACCATAAATAAAGTGATCATGTCAGGCATGGTGTTTAGATTGTCAATCATTAAACAAGCCAATTTATTATGTGGTCTTCTGAGCCATATTCACCATTTTCATAAAAATATTGGCATTTTTCCCTTCCCTTCCATGATCTGTCAAAGAGATGAACGTGGCTCACGGTTCTTTTATGTTTAAAAATTGTGGGGTGTGGTTGAGGCTTGTTGTGTTTTCTGTTTGTAGTTTCATACATAAGTTCACAACGTTGCGTCATCAGCAAAGTCGTTGAGTCAAAAGTTGCAGCTAACAGAATTTACTTACAGTAGTCCTTCGTTTATCTCAGGACTCCTCCTCAACCCCTCCTCCCCACCACCACCACCACCCTGCAATAATGGAAAATCTGCAAAGTCGGGGCGTTATATTCATTTTTGTATTTATTTATACTGTATACTGTCTAATAAGGCTTTAGAAACTTTTCCCACACTCTTGCAATGTTCTAAACTCTTAAACCTACATCATTTTGGGGGGAGTGGTGGCGCAGAGGTCAGAGAGGTGGGCTTGTGATCCGAAGATCGCCGGTTCACGCCCCGGCCCCGACAACATCAAAATTGTGGGTGGGGTAGGTGAAACACCCACACTTGCCCCCACCCTCATTCGCCCCACCCTGGGCCCATGAGCAAGGCCCTTAACCCCCACCATGTTCTCCCTAAACAGGTCTCTCTTGAAAATGAGTTCTCGTGGCTCAATGAGACCAACCTGGATAAATAAAGGCTAAATGAAAAAAAAAATTTTTAACAACATATTTAATATGTAGATACTAAGTTTTACTTACCAGCTCTGCAGAACAGCAGCAGCTCGGTTCCGGTCCAACTTGGTTCTGTTTTGGCGGACCTACCCTGCCGGTTCTGGTCAGCTCTCTGGCTCAGGGTAGTAACGGTGGGCTCTGGAGAGAACGCTGGACCTACGGGCGGTACGTCCCCGTTCAGAAGTCCTTGTAATGTCAAGCTGCTGTCAGTAAAATATCTGTCTTCAGATCAAAGGAATGGTTTAAACCCAGTCCCTGCATCGTGCCAAAGAGTTACTGAGCAAACCGTGTACTCTCCCCACTGTCCTGGTACTCGTGTAAAGTCAGAGTATAATTGGCACTGTATATTCAGAGTGCAGATGTATCGTAAAATAGCTTTTTATGAGTGAATAAATAACACATTATAAAAATGTTTGCATATCCTGGATGAGGTCCGAAAAAAGATTTATCCAGTAGGTGAGGACCGTCTATTTGTTAACCATTTAGAAGCTACTAAAATTAGGAAGTAACTGTACACGAGTTATTATATCAGGATGAAAATATTATTTGGTAAAGACATCACAGACTGAGTATTCCCTGTTCCGGCCTATAAATTACATCACCTACTCGATTTATTCCCTATCTGTCACATCTTTTATTCTTACGTTTTTTACCTCTGCTATTCTTTTAGACTGAGAGAACCTTGACAGATTCATATGATTTCTTTCATGCTATGATCCCACCATAAAATATTGAACAGATTTTACTCAAGCCACGTATTTTGTGATGTTTAAAAACACCTCATAGCAAAGGGAATTATTACAGCTAATAATTAGTGCTTTAATCTTTACTCATTATCTTTTTTTCCTGCAGCTAAAATGCCACTGCATATCTACATTTCTGCCATCCAGCATCACGCACAATGCTTCACCTTTTACCTCCTCGAAAATTAAATCTCAATACTATTTCACATCATTAGCACCGTCTGTGATCTTTGTACCGCATCCATCAGTGAAGTATTAAGTGTTTCACAATCTAAGTGTTGCTTTTAATGTAATGACTTGGTTTAGATGTGATAGTTCATGTTGTTAGCTGCTGTTTTTTATGCTAATCTATTCTTTTCCCACTGTTGGAGTGATTTTAAAACTCTGGAGAGCTGTTGTATCTGTTATGATCTGAAAACTCATTTCCAATGTTTGCTCGTGTGTAAAGTGTAATTATGCAAAGAAAACATGAACACCAAGTACTGGGTTATTTTTTTATTATTGTTATTAATGCTTACAGACAGTTCATGTTTCCAGTGGCCTATCAGGTCTAGCACATCCACATAAAAAATGAAAAATAAATCATTTTCCTGTATTTATTTTCAGTTTAGGAGAAGAAACGAATCAATTATTTGAAGCCTCAATTACAAAAAAAAGTTGTGGCATTGAGTAAAATGTAAACAAAACCTAAATTTAATGGTTTGTTTCCAGTTTGCAATGATAAAAATGTCAAATGTGGAAACGATGACAAATGGTGCATATGACAAATAAAGAAAACTTGACTTTGACTAAGAAAATAGTTAAATTGTTGTAAAATAAAATGACTTTACGTTCTATAGCAACAACATATCTATTAAAAAAATGTCATTTTTGCAACAAAAAAGTTGTAAAAGGAATAAGAAACAATTGGAGGAGCATATTTGCTTTTTTTTTAAATCAACCTTTATTTATAAAGGTTAGTCTTTGCGTCATGAGGACTCATTTTCAAGAGAGACCTGTTTTAGACAGACAATAATAATTCAACAAAAATCAATTAAAATCAAATAAAAGTAGTTTTAAGCACAGTCAAATCAAGGTGCCATTTGAAACAAAATAAAAAACTAAAACAAGAACATATTTGAATGTATTTTTCTATTGACATTATCAATTTTTAAATATCTTAAATAGACTACGTCATATAATTATAAATGCGGTTAATTGGCAACAGGTCAGTGAGGACTGAGCATTAGAAAATGATTTCAGGGAGGCTGAGTCTCTCAGAAGTAATGATGGACAATGAGCTGAAAACAATACTTTTTCTAAGAATATCAGAACTATTTCAGAATAATGTTCCTGGATGAAAAGAGAGGAAGACTTAAATTATCTACAATGTGTAACATCCAAAGATCTACAAACAATTACATAAATCTTTGCTTGCAAAGGACAAAGTTGAAATGTATTATTGGATCTGTGACGGTGGAACAGTCAGGCTGCTGTAAAGCAGGTGTGATTTTGTTCTGGACATTACTGCATGCACTCAGCAACACTTCCACAAATTATTGTCAGTAAACACAGTTCACCGTGTCATCCGCACACGCTGGTTAAAATTATATTGCGAAACAAAGCAACCTTATGTAAACACCACCCAGAAACATCAAAGTTCATGCTCATTAATCCAGGTTAAAAAAATCCAATAGTTCAGTCAGGTCATGTGGACAGTTTCTTGTTTTTTTTTTTTTTGTTGAGACATTTTGTCCTTCATCCAAAGGACTTCATCAGTCTGAGGAGTCACAACAAACTGAGTCCCACAAGCAGCACACTCACATAGTGGACCAACCAGTTTGATGGTGATAAGATGGTTTCTGGAGCCCTCCCTCTCCCCCGTTGACTCCTCTAAGGCAGCCATAGCCAAATTGGTTCAAAACAAAATTCATGCTCAACAATCCAGGTAAATATCCAACAAAGTTAGGAAAGCACGCTAAAACTTGAATGTCTCTTCAGGGTTAAAAGTAATTTAAAATGGACTAAGGCAAATTTAAAAAAATGCTTCTGCAGTCAGGCTAATAAAATAATTTAACTAATTTTGGTTAGCATGGACACTGTGTCCTCTGTACTTAAGAAGGTAATGACCAACAGGCCTGTCTGCATCGATTAGTTCAAAACGCTGCCTCTCTGATGGTATAGGGGGTGCATATGTGCAACATGTGAAGCTTGCACTGACATGATCTGTGGTTTAAATTGAACCCACGTGCAGGGAGACACAGCAAGCTCCAAGTTAAAATAAGGTCAAGCTGTGTTTACTGTCATTCACATCATATGTGGTACATGAGGTGGAACGAAATTATGTGCACAGGGTCCCAGTTACAGCCAACAAAAATACAATTTGTAAAAGAAAAACAGTAATAAGATCCAAGACATGAACTAAGAAATACGCTAAACTAGGAATATACTAAGCACTAATGGTACAAAACAATGCGCCAAAACAACAACAGCACAAGAGAGTCTATTTAATAAGAATAAGTCTTTTTAACAAAACAAAACAAAATCTAATGGGGCAACAACAACTTGGAGGAAATGGAGGAAACGATGGAGGAAGAGACACGACAGGCTGGGAAGCACAATGCACGGACAAGATGAAGCGGAGTGGGAAAAATCCCCTCATTTAATATTTTTAAAGAAACCGATTTAAAAACATTTATTACCTCTGTGGAAAAACATAATTTAAATCAGAAACTTCTAAAAATAATAACTTCTTAAGAAATTTAACTTTATATCATAAACAGACTCCTTTGTTTTTTACTTTTATTTTTGTTGTAACAGATACTTTTTTTATATGAATTTGAACGTATTTTTTGCACATTTGTTAAGAAAATAGTGTTTGTATAGATAAAAAGATACATATTTAATTTTACTCATTTATGTATACATTTATTTAACTTTTTTTTTTTACCTTATTTAGTTTACTTTGTAGATTGTAAGACCTTTACAACATGTTTGCCAAAGTCTGTGGTTATTATTTACATACCATTATTCCTTTATTTATTTATTCTTTAGTATAATTTGTTATTATGATTGTGTTGAAGATCTTTATATGCAACGTTATTTGTTCGAAATAAAGTACTTTTTGAAAAAAAAAAAAAAAAAAAAAGCATGGACAAAGGGGAAACAGAGATGCTGACTTTAAAAGGAGACTAATGAGACGGGAATGACGAACACCTGGAGTGATTAGAATCGAGGACAGGTGAGGCAGGAGCTGCCAACAAGGAAGAGAACATTGAGTGCAGGGAACACAAGGATCTGAAGAAATAACTAATCCCACATACACATCTGGAAAATCATCATCAACGCAACAGAATATTTACATTTTAGAACGTTATGTGCTCTCATCCAGATATAAAAAAATAAGCTAAGAAGACCCAGCACTGCTGAACAGAAGGAATCCCTCATTGGATAAAAATATGATCAAAGTTCCCTCCAAACCTCCAGCAGCTGGTCTCATCAACATTTCTCTTCAGTTCTAGATGTTTACAGACTGTTTTAAAAAGAAGAGGGGGTGCTCCTCAGGGATAAACATGGCCGTGTCACAACTTGTTGAATATGTGTCGCTGCCATAACGTTCTAAATTACATTTTTTATTTTTTCAAAAGGCGATGTGTGATATGAGGTTTCTTCAGATTCGTTGTAAGACAGACCACTACAAGAGATCCTTCCTGCCCATAGCAATCAGCATCCAGAACAACTCTTTAATGAAACCAGGATGATGAGTTACATTTAATTTCCCTTTGGGATAAATAAAGTATTTTTGAATTTAATTGAATTGAATGTATTTTTGGCTTGAGAATAGAGAATAAAATATGGATGTGTGTATATAAATACTTGCCGCCGTACACGCTGCACAGCCGTATAAGTTGCATCAGTCCAAATATGTCTAATAAAGTGGAAAAATCCATAAATATGTAGCTTCACTGTTTAAGTCGCATCTATTATGCATCACCATTGACCACCTAGAAATATGGGCCGGTGTGCCAAAAATCGATTGGCTGCCAAATGGCAGCCGCGGGAAGGTGCACTGGAGGACTTTAACAAGAACTTAACAAGATTAACACTTAAAAACAATTATTTGTTTGCTCGAAATTATACTAAAGGTGTGTCTCAGTCTAACTTTTCCTTAATAAATACACGTTAATGGTCAAATCAGCTGCACTTCGCCTGGGCGACGCAGCGAAATGCAGCTGATTTGATGTTTGCTCCAGGTGTTCGGGAGCGAGACGAAGGTCTCATGGCACTTTGAACTGCATTGTTGCTGAAATGTGCTATACAAATAAACTTGATTGATTGATTGATTAATAGCCACTTTTATATATCAGTGAGACACTTGGCTTGCCATATTGCTTGAGGGCCCTCTAGTGGCTGAAAATGGTAGTGTTCAATATTTTCCATGTCAGAATGAATGAAATCATCAGAC